TTGGTTAATTCTAAGACTTTGTCTTCTTATAAATTTTTTCCCAAAGCCTTTAGTTTTCGAACAAAATATTGTCCAACATTGTGCGAATTCATTCAAATCGTTTCCAATTTTTTGAAAAATCAAAAATGTTATCCTAAAAATTAAAAAAAATTTGAGTGCGTTATTTGATAAATTTTAAGACATTTTTCTTCTATAAAACTTTTTTCTAAACCTTATATTTTTTTGTGAAAAACAATGGTAACAAGAAACGAATTTGTTTTCAGGTTTTTGCATTTTATCTGACATTTTAGAAAAAAGCTCATATATAAAAATTTTTTGTTAAAGTTCAACAATTTTATGTACCGATGATTGAAGAAAGATTTGCATATTGACACGTTTTATGCTAGAAATTGATAATAAAAAATTTTTACTATTACATTTTACTATTACTTTATACTATTTTCTTATAAAAAATCCGTCATATTTAATTTTGCAAGCAAAGTTTTTGAATTTTGAGCCCAGATTCATATTTAGCATACTTAGAAACATAAGGGACGATACTTTAGATTAATTTATTGTTTCGTTTTACACGTGAATTTTGCGATCAAAAACATGTCTAAAAAATGACGTCTACGGTCGTTAAGGACGTTCTCTTGGCTGTAGGGGTGCTTAACCGCGGCTGCGTGCGGAAAAAGGGATACTTGCGTTCATTTCACTTTTAACAAGAGGATTATAGACAGACAATATATAAACAGGTCTGCTTCTCGGCATATCCAACATCATCTATCTGCTGTATTTGTCGGCTCGACTAGCAATCAGAGTCACCGAGTGCATGGTAAGAAACAATCTCTGGTAAGAAAAGCATACTGACTTTGTTATCACGGCCGCGTACACAAACTTTGTGATTTACGAACCGAGCTGACGAGTTTACTTTACACGCCGATTTCAGACTAATTTGGAGCATAAATATTTGCTGATCCAACCAGATGTAGGTCTTTTCTTTCCGGCAGTCGACTTTTTTACTAACAAAATTTCCGAAGTCGCGTACGAGCGACCCGATTATGGCAAAATTCCTCTGGTGCTTAATTTTCAGCGATTCTGCGGCATTGATTACACAATCGTCAAGGTACGCTTTGTTCATTTTTCCGATATCCGCTGAATTTTTCATTGGTGCACTAAGCAAAAGTATTGTACAGGGGCTGGAAAAGTTGGCAAAGGAGTTACGGGAAAAAGAACAAAAGTTATGGTTTTTAAATCTTAATAACAGCGTTGCGAAATCAATTAAAAAGTTCGGAGACTTAAATAACTTAAAGATACTTAAAAATGAAGCTGACATCGTTGCGGTACTCTGTAGATTAGGTATATTTTACTACAAGTTATCAAGAGTGTTTGCCTCGTATACATTTACATGATTGATCGTAATGATTGCAGAGATGGACGATGATGTTCAAGTTCAATACATACATGAATACAATGGAAAAGATATTTCTATGAGTAATATGATAGCCTCGACATTTTCAGAGGCGGAATCTTTTATTGTCAAAGAAAGCAAAGCCGATTCCGAGGCGAAGATCCACGTTAACTAGATAAGTTATTGCATGATTAGCGATAAATCAATTCAGATTAGAATATAAGCTTATTGAATATTTTTATTACAATTTTTATACTCTGTACAAATAAATTCTGATATTCTTTACTAAAGTCAAGACTTTGTCATTTTACAAGTTTATATATCATTACATGATTATTTCTAATTTTCACTTCAAAGAAAGACTTCCTCATTCGTTTTTTCATATTTTAATATTATTAAAGATTTCATTAAAATATCGTTGGTATATTACAATGTAGAAATTTAATGTCTGCCTCGCAGAAGTAGCAGGAAGTAGTTGTTTAAATATTGAATGGCTGCGACTTTGTAACCTATACTTTGAAAATTTGTAAAAAAATCTTTGAGAATCGTTTCGAACAAGTACATTTAGTTTCTCACCACAGAATGGACTTACAAGGAAACTACCCCGGGTAACTCACCGATTTTCTTTATATAATAAAATTTAATAATTAAGTTTTATATAAAATATCATATTTCACATTGAGCTGTTATATATCTAATATGTATTATATTACATAATTATAACAACGTTTAATGACAACTACTTTTGTGAATTATGAAAATAATAATGAAACGATATTACATCTTATTATATTAATTATATATATGGTACTTATGTTATATAGCTCTGTATTCATGGAAAGCACACAACCATTTTTTGTTTTCAGTTAATTCATATCTATCTATTGCTACAATAATATTAATCACATACCCTTCGTTATTAGGATTGAACATATTGATCCGTGGTGTAATTTGATGAAAATTAATGTTAATTAAGATCCACAAGAATTTCATTGCGTCAACAAAAATATCCTTTTTTGAAGTATCACTCTCTGTGACTTTCTGCGCAATATTCATGGAAATTACGACTAGTTTATAAAATTTGTATATGGTTTATAGCTTACAGTGTAGCTTTATATGTTATATCGCGAAAATTTGTACATTGATATTTCTCCGATTTGTTTGTTCTGTTGAACATAGAGTTATATCCTACACCAATGGAATTTACACAGAGATTGCTGATCATAATTGCATAATGATTGATTTAAGCCCCTTTTACCAACAGCAGTTCTGGTACTTATTGCAGTAGAAAGCAGGGTAGATCCACTGCTAGCAGCTAGGTCCAGAGTGCTGTCTGCAACTCCAAGTCAATCTGACATTGCTTGCTTATTGGTAATACTGATAGACTGGCCATGAATACTTTTATCTACTAATTCTTGTACTGCTCTACTGCTTCCTCATATTCCTTATACTGCTCCTCCAACAGCACCTAAAAATACAGTCTTAATAAATTTTTATATACATGTGTCTCAGTACACAGATAATGTAAAATAATATAAAAATTACCTGCTACGGCAATTGATATAGTTATAGGGTAGATTATAACAGCAATTCCAGTCCCAACACATCCAATGTTGATAAAAGTGCTTGCTATGTCAATAGCATTTATTATATTTTTGCTTACATTATTATTATGTATTTCAACCCATACAGGAGATGATATTTCGAACCACATCTCTTAAATTTGTTTGATAAATTCTATCTTCTGGAACTATTATTGTACAAGTTGACATATTGTTATACAAAAATTTACTCCAACTTTTATAAAATCGTGCCTCAGTGTCGACATACCAATTACGAAAAGTAAGTGTATCTTTTTTCTTTATACATTTTGTATTTTAAAAATTGGGTGGGTAATATAAGTTCGATCAGTTTGGAGTCATCACAAATATGCAATGATGTTTCATACACCATATAGTACCTCTTTTTTTTATCAGTCAATTGTGTGCTATGCTCAACAATTTAATCATAAATTAACACTATTACAGTTATAGCTCTGTTTTCATAAACATAAGCATCATCTTCAGGATATTTACAATCTTTATCAATTTTTGGTTGACCATACAAGGTATAAGCGATATCATTTTTTAGATATACGTACTGATTAATAGTATTTCTATTCCAATGACTGCTAAATTCATAAAAATTTATTGCTAACCAATAGATAGCTGCTTGAAAATTTTTTTAAATATTATTTACAAATGCTAACCAGAAAATGCACAGACGTACACAGAATAAAAAAAGAAAACAAAATTTAAAAAGTATTGTACAATGTCCATGCTGTGCATAAAATGTATATAAATTTTCACATTCATAACATGAAAGATCTAGTGTCAATCAATAAAATAGTCTTACCTTGAGATCGCCAATTTTAGTTTTTTCTATCATGTAAACGTTAGTGAGTTGTTAAACTGCTGATTCAGTACAAAGTAATAAAGTAGTGACTATACAACAATTTTCAGATTTTGTAAGCCTAATATTTATCTGTCTTTTCACGGAAGTGTTCATTCAATAATAAGAAACTAGCAGATAATAAACAAGGCTCGACAATGCACGAAAATATCATTTGGTGTTTTAAAATCACTGCAGGCAAAGATTCTCTCTTTAGTTTAGTACGGTTTTTGATCAATCATAACACAGTTCCGCGCAACTGCGTAAATAACCTACCAGCTGTGAAAATGATAAATTAATTTGAATTTTCAACGCTAAAATCTTAGCAAACAATCATTTTATATAGGTTTATTCAATTCTTCTTAATTCTTTTTCTTAACCATAAAAGGTCACCTAAAGTTTGCTGTTTATATTATTAAGTTATGAATAAGATTACACATTAATAAATATCTTAAGAAGTAATATTATTTGACAATTTTGTCTATATTTATATATTTAAAACTATGAAATAATTTTCTTACTTCTCCCAAACTCCCGTTGATTATTTATTTATTTAATATTGTTAATAAAGTTGACAGTTGTAAAATTTTTAATTTATATAATTGTGTATTCAAGTGTTGAAGTTCGTTTGCAAAATTGTTTATGAATAGCCCATAAGTTGACATAAAAAAATGGCATAAGCGCGCTAGAAGTGACGCTGTTGCTACTCGCTAGTCCTATGATCCTGATGCACATAGCGACATCCTACCTAGCTCGTCGCATTGTCAAGACCTTAACATCTAGAACCTGTACGCAACCGGATAAATTTATGTCGATACCCCTGCTGCTATATACTACTTCCACAGGTTTAAATTTTCGAAACGATTTTTTAATTTTGTCGAATGTTCGATTAGTTCAAATAATTTATATTATATATAATTATATCAATTATATATAATATAAATTACATATAATTATATTATAATCATAACTAGTACATTATTTGAATTAAACAAAATATTAATGGAAATGTAATTATAAAAACACGCCTTTTCGAAGTAATACAACGCAACTTAATAAATGTTGTTAAAGTTAACCACTTAATGCTGAAATAGTGTCAAAAATAAGCTGATCCCCTCCCTGATTGTAATGCAATAAAGGATATCTTTTAGGTAGATACAAAAATGTATTCAACATCTAATTATCATCTCACTGTAGCTTAAAGAATGTCACTTTTATTATCTGAATAATGTATATACATGTTGATTGACTTTATGAACTTAACTTTTTAAAAAACGTAAAGTAATGTGTAAAAACTATTTGTGATACATGAAACACGAATATGCGAAAAAATAAGTAACCGTTTTATAGAAAATAAAATAGTAAAATAATGCCTCACAAAGAGCCGCAACAAGCATACCCTAAGAACGATTGAGAGCTGGTTTATCACATCGTTAGCTCCTGCAACACAAAAAATAAGAAATCAATACTTGAATTATGTTTATATTATGTCAAATCAATTTAAATTATAAAAAATTCAGTCTGCCAAGGTTTTCGTCAGATAATTATGTCTGACTGTGAAATAAAAGCGAAACCTCCACATTATTCATCATTTAATGAATAGCTATTTTTCACAACAAAAAATAGTTCTAGTGAAAAAAAAACGTATGTTCAACTGACCATGATAGCATTCACAATATCATTCTGATTATTTTTGAGAGCTTTGATAGCCTTCCCCCGGGTTACACTGGCTTGATTCATGACAAGCTCAATATCTTTTTCTTCAACTCCTGTTTCATCAATTTCCTCTTCAGACTCTTCTTGTATTGGAGCAACCACCTGAATATTTTTTTATATTAAAATTAGTTATTTTATTAGAAAATTGAGGTTTTATCTTTATAAAATGTACCGTTGTGCTACCACCAGCTTCAGCAGCTGATATAACTGGTGGCTCTTTGAATTTTTCTGCAGCAGCTACTTGAGCTTGTTGACTCAGATCTTCAATCTAAAAACAATGAATAATTAGTAAAACAATTGCAAAAATTGTATAAAATATTAATTTTGCCTTCATACTTTTGCTTCTCCAAATACAATATAAGTATCTGAAGCAGGATTTTTTAGAACATCTGGCTTGTTGATTACAAACAAAATATTCTTAGACTTTCTTATTGTGACTCTGTTTACACCTTGGACCTACAGTATTCAAAGTAAAATATTAATACAATACTATTTACTTATTAAAAAACAATACAATTAAACAAACTTTTTACCGGTTTCAGGCCAAGTTTGCTCATTAATTTTCTAGCTTTCTTCTCTCCACGACTTTGTTTGGCTTTTGAAACCATGTCAATGGGCATACCAGGAACGTTCACTCCTGAAAATCCAACATTGCCACCTGTAGTTGCATCTTCCAATTCTGGAATAGTATCATCGGAGTCTGAATCAGTTCCTGAACCAGCAGTTCCTACTTCAGCCTTTGATGGATCAGAAGCTGTAGCTTTGTCAAGTTCAGTTAGTTCTGGCATTTTCATGAATCTAAAAATGATAACAAAATAATCAGTTGGTACTTTTAATAATTAATATTTTTGAAGGATTGGTAAAGCAGTTTTTTGTTTCAAAATGTTTATCTTTAAATATAATTTTGTGTTAAAATATAAAAGTGAGAGTATTTGTTTTCAAATGACTTTAAAATTATTTTATTGTATAATTAAGCGATCTACATGTTCGTAACTATAGGGAATCAAGACTAATGCCTACAAATACCTAGTGTATCTCTGTAGCGTTCCAGATGAACACAGCTCTTGAAGCAATAACAATAACAATAATAATAATAATGATAATAATAATGATAATGATAATAATAGATATTCAAATTATTTCCCCTTCACTATTTATAATTACCATGGTTATAAACTTCTTAAATACTTACAATTAGAATTTTGTACAAAAAAATAGTCTTAATACGTGAAATTATATTAGAATACTTATTAATTATTATATAAGTTAGATAAATACTATAAATCCAAATAACTTTTATCAAAGTTATGAATTTAAAAATAATTATAAATCTTTCTATATATACATTTGAATAAATAGCCAACTCGTTTCACGTAGAAAATTATAAACAGTTTGATATATTTCGTTATCAGCTTTTTTTTACTATAGGTAGTGATAAAGTAATTTACTTTTTGTTTTATATTGTATATAGAATAAAGAAATTTATTTAAAATTTTCTAAGACTCAATAAGGTAACTAAAAAAGGTTAGAAATGAAGAGGCTTGAATAGAATGAATTGGTAAAAAATGTCAAATATGATTGAGATTTATCAATATCAAACATAAAAGATAATATTATAAACTTTTTTTGCAACAAAACTTTATGATGCATAAATAATCCGTGGATTTACCTCAAATATGATATACCGTTGATAAAACGTTATTTTCACAACTACTTTGTGGAAACGTAAAGGTCGGTTCACAATCTGCAATTATATATAGAAAAATACACTCTCCCTCTCCGCTACCTTCAGCTTCTAGAAAACGTATTTAAAAATGCTTTCGGAAACGTAAGTTTTTAATAGTATTTTATTTCTATAAAACCGTGAAATGAGAATAAAATAATATTAAGGAAATACAATTCTCACATAAAAGCTTATATAATAGATCAAATGAAAAAAATTATTTAAAAAAAACAGTGAGTTAGTTAATAATATTTTCTTTTCTTACTTTTTTTCTTTTATCTACTTTACAATGCAGAATGGCAATTACAAATTTTTAAACTTATTTTTTATTTTCTTTAGTCAAATATGTTATTGTATATAACATTTTGTAATTTTATTTTTTTCTGTGAATTTAAGCTATTTTTTATCATCACTTTTTATTAAAAAATAATCATAATTAAATTTTAGATTTACATATATTTGTCTCCTTATTTTTAAATGTACATATTTAAACAAAATTATATGTATACATTATTTTATAATAAATATTACTATTTAAATTGAAAACCTTAATAGGACACGCATTTTTGTTGCACCTAAGCTTGCAGTGTAAACTCCAAATAATAAAATTTGATTTAATTAAGTCTTGTTCATTCTTTTCTTTTAATATTAGTGTAAAAATCAGTTAAGCATTTAAAACTGATTATTTAATATATTAGCTGTTTATTTTTGTTATAAATAAAAATAAATATTAGCGTCTTGCATGTTTTCATTCAGTCAAACAAACTGTTTAAAATAAGTATCAAAAATTTACATAATTAATTGTCAGTAAATTTGTTATATTTTTTAAAAGATTATCATTAAAGTTACAAACTAAAAATTCTATAGATTGACACTTATAATGGACTATGAAAATACTTTGAAATATTAAAAACTCAAGTAATACGTCTGGATAAATAATCATAGATTGCAAATTCACTTTAATTTTATACTAATCCTCATTAATTGATAGTTCTAAGATTTGGATAAACTTTATTTTCTTTAGATTGAATAAGCTAGAAATTATTTTAGAAAACAGATTATCGTGATATAACACTGATTCAGTGTTATTATAAACTTAATTTACATTTGTTTTGTTCAAAACAAAGTAAAATAATTTAATTAATTCAAACATTGAAATCCTACGAGAATTAAAAACATTGTATGACAGTATATGAAATAAATATTCGTTCTTTATTTGTTAAATAAAAAAAGAAAAGCCTTTAAAAATAAAAGTAATTAAATCTGGAATGATTAGTGTTCTTTAAATAGGTTGAAATAAATATTTTTTAATTCACAATAGAACTATCCATATCTCATTATTTTCAATTTGAATATGTTATAGATTGTTTGAAAATACTTCGGTAGCAAAATATAAATAATCTATATAAACATTTTATTGTATATTCCAATGATGATTAATAAAGTATTTAACAACTCTTTGACTTATGAAATTCATTTTTGTTTGTAACAATTATGATTCCTTTTTAAGAGATTCATCTACCTCCATTTTTTCATTTTCTGTTTCTTGATAAGGTGGTTCTTCTTCAACAAGTATTGAATCTAAAAATGATTAAATATAAAAGCGATAAATTGAAAATTACCTATTTTTCTATTATTGATTTTATTTATGATATTAATAGATACCTATAGCTTTATCATTACTTTCATTTTCGTCAATCACATTATTTTTTTCACTGTCTGGAGTAGTAGAAGGCTTTTCTACAACTTCTATATCTGAATCTTTAATGTGAGAAAAATTAAAGCTATAATGTAACTACTGTCTCTAAAATTATAAAAGTCAAAAACTGTCTACCTGTATCTGATGAATTGATAGTATTTTCATTATCACTTGTATGTGTTTGTGCTACATTTTCCATTAATTTATTTGATTGAAGTGACAGTCTTCGTGGACTCATCAAACTATTATCTAATTCTAGTTTAGGAGCAGATGGTTTTTGTTTTCTTGCTTGGTTCCAAAAATTACAGTAACAACATCTGAATGCTGAATTTCATATTAAGAAAAGGACAATAAATCTTTAAGAAATATGTGCATTAATTTTCAAACAGAATATTTACCAAAATATTCAAACTCTTCCTTGAGAGCCATTCCATTATGCGAGTCACATTGGCGACATATTAGGGCATATCTGTTATTTGGCCCATCACCAACAACATATTCAATAAGTTTATCAACATAGCTTCTTTGTTGAGGTAAAATTGGTCGAGGTAATGGAGTCTCTGAGAAGGAAATTTATCAAAATGAGTATTAGGACTAATAATTTTAAAAAAATATGTAAGTGTGAAATATCAAAGGTAAACAAGAACTACTTACTAGGAGGTGGTGTAGCAGGATTACTTACTTTACCACTTGTTCGATAGGGTGTTGAGGGTAGTGGAGATTGTGAAATACCAACTCCTATAGGGAGTTTATTTAATGGAAGATTTTGTGCTAGGTTAGATGAAGTTAAAGCTCTGCGGCGTAATTCAGTTGTTTGCAAAGAAGGAACTACTCCTTGAGGTGTGCCAAATTTAGGAGTTTCAGTTATTATTACAGGAGTTTGTTTGTTAGCGCTCTGTGAAGTAAATTGAATTATCACACATCTATTATACAAATATATTGTTTTACATGGTATGTTAACAAAATTAACTAACCTGTGGTGAAAACTGAAAAAAGAAATTATCAATTAATAGTTTTTAATTTGAAATCATGCCAATCTCTGCATTTATTATATTAGAATACATACAAATTAAAGTCTAATTTTTTGCTATTCTAGCATGCATTGTAGAATAAACTATTAAAAATAAAAATTGTTCAATTGATAATTGAATAATACTCACTGCTGTCATTCTCAACTGATCAGGAGCATATCTCATTAATATCTCTTTGGCTTTTTTGTATGTCTCTGTTTCTGTAACTTCGTCTAATATTTTCTTTTTTTGTTGTTGCATTGTGGATAGTTTATCTTGATTTCTAGAAAGTTTGCGTTTATAATACCATGATACCATTTTCTTCGTAAATAAGATTCTAAAAATTATATAATAATATTAACTAGTACAATGTTGTTAATAACTTCATTAAAGTTATAATATAAGGACATTTACAATATTGGGAAAATGAGTAAAGGTGTGATATAAAATATTTGATCATACAGTTCTGCAGGAAAAAAGTAAAAGTAAAAGACCATTGCTGTAATGATATATAAAGCTACACTATATATGATCAAAGTTCCAACAATTTTTTTGTGCCTCTGTTCAGTATTTTGACCATATTCTTGAATATCTTTTATTTTCTGTAAATGAATACATTTGTTATTGTCAAATATATTATATTATATTGAAAAAATATACAATTATAACTTACTTTATCTAAATCATCTAAAACTTCAATAGTAGTTCGCTTTTTCTAAAAACAAGAGATATTATATTAACAGAGGTAATAAGAAAAATATGATTCATATTTAAAATATACATGAATAGTTAATTAAAAGTTGACTCCTTCAATGTTTAAATCTTGCAAATATGTTGATTAACATCATGATTTTAGCATGCATTATTTACAGATACTATAGTTTCAAGTCAAATGTACTTTGAACTCACTGTGCTATATATAGATTTCAAATGGCACTCCATTGAATGTTAATGACTATTCACACATGTTGAATAATTAAGTAAATTCATGCATTAAATGTTTGTTAAACCATTGTAACTTTTTTTGCAAGTAATTCGGTTCAACATTCGAAAAGTTGTGTTGAAATGATTGATTTTGATAAAATTTACAAATCATTAATAAACAATTTGTAATATATAAATATGCAAATTCGGAAATATTTGTTAAATGAAAATGATTTAACAATACTATTTACTATAATGTGAACTACTAACAATTACAATTTAATTTTGAATAAAATGTAGAGTACAATTTATAATTTTATATTAATTCAAATAAAGAACAAATTAGTAACATAACCTTAAAGGTAAAAATTAAATACAAAAATTGTAGTTTTAATATCATTTTACTTACACGAAATCTGGAGAATATTATTCCCATTTTTATAACTACTACACTGTTAAGAAAAGTAGCACGATTTAGCTCGAACTAGACGAGCATATTGTTTAAAAATTTGGCAAACGTTACACGCATCAAAGTCAGTGTCATCCAACTGCTATTTCAGACTTTAAAATTAGGAATCTCTATAGCTCAGCTTTTGTATGCTTTGGTTCCAATTGAATTACGTTGATCTTCTTTTCTTTCTCACCGAACTAAAATTCTACCAAAATATGAAACTTAAGTTCATCAACGTAGTTCATATATTAATATATTTAAAGACGTTTCTCAGTTGGCCTAAACAAATAATTATTTGAATCCGTTTCAATCGTTGCATGTGGCAAATATATTGTTTGTTTAAGGTATGTTTTTAACACGTATCACAAAGTTGAAATATTTAATAACAATATGTTTAAGGAATACTTACGTTGAATTGGTCAATTACATTATGCTGAATTTCATTTTGTTAACAACAATGTTTCCTTTACTAATAAATCTATGTAAATATTTATAACTGCTATAACTATTTGAATACGGCGTCGTGATTGTAAAGTAACTTTAGTGATACTTTTTTATCAACGTAATTTGAAATGACACTAACGTTTTTCGTCTTGATTTCCGAATGGCGCATAATGGCCAAGCACTCATGGCAGCACAACGCGACAATTCATTTTCCATTCGTTTTTTTTATGTATGGTAATATATAATGAATAGCTGTTTTTGGCGTACTCGTACGCGTGTGTGTGTGTGTGTATGCGCGCGCACTCGTGTGTATGTATGTACATACATGCATACACGCATCAGCACGCATAGGTATAAACATGAACGCGTATACGTTATGTACTGCTACTTACTTACCAATTTAATTACAATTTACAATTAAAGTAACAAGCTTATGTTTTTATTCGTGATTATTAATGAGAGAATTAGGTATTGGATTTTTCGCCCTTTCCTCGATTCTTTTACTTTTTATTTCGTGCTTTGATTGATTTTTTATTTAAAAATCCAGGAGATTACCACCGCTCAGTGTTGCGTCTAAATCTAATTTCAGTCTTCGATATTCTATATTCAGTAAAATACTTATCAAAGTGCCGTGTACCGGTTTCGCATATAATACATGTATTTTATCTACTGCAAATTAAATATTAATATTATATGCAATGGCCCGGATCATATAAAAGATGTATTTGTTGTCTACTGGATACAATTTTAACTTAATTCTATGTAAGATATGAAAATGAATAATAGGATTAATATTGAAAATAACCTATTTTTGTTAACCAAAACACAATGAAATGTGAATTAATGATAATAAGTTGATATAAACAAACTTTAAACACATCCGAAATTCTTTGACAAAATAAACTTTTAAATAGCTGTTAGAGTAACTTCCTTTGCAGGAGTAATTTCTTGCAGGAGTGATTCTAAATAAATGTCTCAATGCATCTTCAATTTCCATTATTTAAAATATTTTGAATTAGTAGATAATCTATACTATCAATGCTCGAGGAGCTACCGCTGATCGAACACTACATAGAAGATTAATACCAATATCTTTAAGGACAGAACAACTTCAATTGTAAATAACAGCTACTAAAATTATAAAGCGAAAAATTCAACATTAAAGGACCATGCTAAAAAGAAGTGTAACATATTTCTAAGAAAGCAGAAATTCAAAAGAGCGACTAATTATATTGATCACCATGATGAATCAATATTTTCTTGAAGATTATGTCATTTTTTGGATATTTTAATTAGTATTTAAGAAAGATAATGAAATAAACTATTTCTATAAAATTTAAATATATTATTTCATACATAATTAAGTCCATAATTGTATTTCTTCAGCTAAAGGAACAGCGGGAAATCAACGAAAATCGACCAAAAAAATTTATAGAAAAACTGCGCGTGGTTAACAAAGACAACAAAAATTATTTAACTTAAAATTATTATCTCCGCGCAATTTTATTTTCATTGATAAAAAAATTATCAAAGTTGATCACTCATAGATTATCGATAACTATATCTGCGTGGAGTTTTAATAAAGTTTTTAGAGAAATAAATCCATTCAATGGTTAGCAAAAATCACACGCAGTTTTTCTATTCAATGAAAATATTATAACCATCCGTTAAAGAATAAATATTATTTCGACATTCCGTGCGCAAAGTGCGCCTTTACCGCACGCTCGGCAGAAAACGTGCGTTGAAAATCGCACTTTCCACACGTCGTATAAAAAAAAACGGTACGGCAAATGTTTATAAATTTATTGTATGAAATTTATTTATTTTTATTATATGCACTTGTTTCGTAATGTACTATTTCTCACTACAATCATATACATACGTGTTACCTGGGGTATGTTATTTTACTTGCTGACAAAAAATTTCATTCCAACAATTTAAAAATAATTACTAATATCCTGAAAAAGAATAATTATTTATCTAATTAAAAAAATAATTAAAATAATTATTTTTATTTATCAAAAAACATATACAAAAACGGATCAATAAATACAAAAAAGGGAATAATAATTGTGGCAGGGAATTTCGGGGGTTTTAACCGCGCTCCGAGTTTCTTCCGCCACAAGGCCTGTTTGGCTCTACCCCCGATTATTTAGGGCGCCAGACCGTCGGCTAATTACGGCGATCGTCGGGGGTAAGGCCAGTAGGGTTGTCGCGTATCCCGGTTTGCTTAACGGCGACTGCGCAGGGTGGGCAGACGGGGGATACGCGTCGTATCCTCACTTCAGGCCTTGGTGTCCAACTCTCCTTCTCTATTTTTCCTCCTTAATTATGGTATGCCGGCAGCTCAGGTGATGGCTCCTTAATTCAGGTCGTGAGGACGTTAGAATTCGCGTATGTTACCTATATCGAGTGACCCGAAAATACAGCGAATTAGTGGTACCCGTATGTAACCGCTTGCGGCTGAAAATCACTAGCATGCAATAGAGGTAGGATAACACAGTAAATCGTATATAAATAATTAATCACTTTATTGACGTATTAATAATTCACACATAAAAGATCGGAGTAAATATGGTCGGTAAAATTCTGAATAATCATGAATTAGTAAGGATACAAATTAATCGAAACGTTAACAATTTTCCGGTCGGTCTTCAATTAACAAAAATGGTGAAAGGTCAGCGCGAATAACTCACTCACGAATTTCCTTTGTCTGATCTTACCGCTCACGCTCGGTTTACGAAATGGCGGAAAGGTCAGCACAATTAAATAGGCAGGGTGAGTTTATTTGGCTAATTCTACGTTCGCGGCAATTTGTCAGCGAAAGGTCAGCGCGAGTATCCTAAATCACAATTTTTCTTGGTTAATCCTAACGCTCACGTCCGATTTGCGAAATGGCGGGAAGATCAACACAACTAAATAATCAAGACAATTTTATTCGGTTAAACCTACGTTCGTAATAAATAGTTAACGAAAGGTCAGCGCGAATCCTAAATCACAATTTTTCTTTCATAAAACCTAACACTCACTTTAGCTCTACGGAATGGCGGACAGGTCAGCGCGATTCGATAGGCACCGGCGTCGACGGATCCACGCGTCGCGACGACCTACAGCACTAAGACGTTTATTCCCGTACTCCGCGATTAAATAAAAGTGAATGGCACTTTGCCTACTTACAATCTTTCCTTGCGGTTTTGGCGAACAAAATTGGCAAAAGAAAATGGAAGGCGTCTAGCGCTAGTAAGTCTGCGGCGAGATTAGCTGATAGAAGCTCCTTCTATCTAGAGATCCAGTGGCAAAAATGGACGAGAATCGGCTTCTCGCGGTCAAAGATCGCTTTTCTTCTCCTCTTTCTGAGAAGAAATGTTATTATTGGTCGGTATGCTAATTCGGATATCGGTAGCGCCCTCCGAATATTTTATTATTGGTCCGTATGTAAATTAGAAGGATACAGCGCCCTCCTTAACTCTCCTACTTTCGTCGTTATTTACCCTCTCTTACCCCCCACTAAGGTAGCTATCATTAGTTGTTGGAAAAGATCTACCCTTACTCTTATTTATTTGTCTATCCGGATGGAAATCAAATTTTATTCTAATTTGCTCATTGGTCGTGACGTCACTAGCGAATTTTGTCAGAGGTTCGAATTCGGTTAGTTAAATTATTATTTAAACCTAAAGGGGGTAGTTGTCGCTCGCTATCATAATAGGGGTGTCGGTCGCGTGCGAATTTTACAATTCGGTATTTATTCCACGCTCATTCTTTTCCAATTATAATTTTAATTTTAATGTGTCATAAATATGTATATAATATACGTCGTTTCATTTGTAGCGCCCTCATCTTCACATTTGCATATTATTCTATCTATCATTTCGTATCGTCTGTCTCGCTCGCTCTTGTTTAGTCTATTTCGCTCGCTCTGTCTCGCTCGCTCTGTCTCAATCTGTCTCGCTCGCTCTTGCTTAGTCTACTTCGCTCGCTCTCAGTCTGTCTCGGCGCTTCAACATGGCCGCTCAGTTTCTAGCGCGTACGTCTCGTGTCCTTGTGTCGGTTGTTGGAGCGCCTCCTGGGGCGCTCCCGTGTCGGTTCAGTGATGTTCTCCCGGGTGTTTGTGTGTGTGGTTGCTGTATTTCTTGTGTGTGGCGCTCAGGATGTCGCCGATGGTGTTCGGCAGCCCGACACAGCTGATTGCCGGCTGCCACTTCATCGGCGATTTTCTGCTCGCCCCAGGAGTGTCAGTGCCTCGTGAGTGTTAGTGTTGGTGTCTGGGAGTGTAACGGATCTGCATGTGTCATCAACATGCATTTCCGTTGCATTTCCCAGTCAAGTTTTCCCTTTTTCTTTCGCCGGTCGGCAACACGTGGTCGGGAGTGTATGTGAGTGAGTGTGTGCGTGCGCTCTCTTTTTCCGTGGTGCGCTCCTTTTTTCTGTCTGCTCTTTGAGTGTCTGTCGGATCGCGTTTGACGAGTTTGTTTTGCCCATATCTCCGGCGTGGTTGTTCGGACATAAAAAGGGGTAATTGTTTTATATAGGGCGCGTTTATCTTTATTTTATTCAACCGGTTACGGGGCGGCAAGGTACGGGGGTGGCCTTTCCGAGGTGTTGCAAATAATGCAGCACCCAGGAAAGGCCTTGTAATGTACCGCATTACATAATTCTAAAAAATTAGAAAATCAAAAATTACCTACAGTCGCTATTCCGAATAATTGCAACATCTTCAAAAAATGTTCATCTGTGTTAAAAAAACATAACATTATGCTTATCACTTTATTACAAAAACCATTACAAGAGTTTATCCGTTTAGGAAAAGACAAATCTGATTTATTAGACAACACTGGTATTGTCTACAGTTTTAACTGCAAACAATGTTCAGCGGTCTACATACAAGGGTGGTCCGATAAGTACTTAGCCTCACCGCCCGATGGCGCCACTCTCGCAAAAGAAATATTCTATCACGTGACTTATACATATGGAGTAACCACGTCTTTCTAGATTAAAAAAACCTGAGAAGTTCTGATCGAGTTTTGCAATTAAATAATAATCAAATAGGTAGTCTCAACCTGAGTAAAAAAGTTGTGCTTGTTACACTTCTGTAACGCGTTTTTATTCTACTGAATTTTGTCTTTTAAGCAAGACCGAGCGTGTCCGGTCTCTACATAACCTCTTTTGAGTCAAAACCTCCTGCCAGCCCCCGTTTTATAGGCGGCTTTGCACCAAATTAAAATG